AATCCTGGCTGCGGCTTCTTGACGGGTGGATTCAGAAAGACGCTTCCCTTCCCTAAACTTGGAAACCTTCCTTTTTTTGGACTACAAATCCCAGTACAGCTGGACTGGCTGGGGACTCTGGGCGTTGTAGTCAAAAACATTCTTTCCTAGCTTTGCCCTTTTCTCAAACCCTCTAGATGGACTACAACACCCATAAGCCCCATCCAGTATGATCATTCAGAGTCGGCAGGGACACGGAGGGGCCCTGGGTGGAGGCTGATCGCAGGTTAGAAGGACATTGATGTGCCTGAAATAGTTAAAGAGGTTTTGTCTACCTGGGTTCAACCATCAATCCAAATGCAGCCAAGAATTTAGACGAAGACGGAGAAGACTCGGAAGGACAGCCAGGAAGGAATTAGAAAAGATCATCACGTTTAAGGATACGGTCACTGGAGACCAAGGCCAAGATCATCCAAGCTCTTGTATTTCTGATCACCCCGTATGGGTGTGAAAGGGAAGCTTGATAGGGAAAAAAAAAGAATCGATTTGTTTGAAATGTGGCCCTGGAGGAGAGCTTTGAGGCTATGTTGAAGGCAGCAGGAAAAGAGGAAGACCCCCCCATACGAGATGGATAGACTTCCCTAAAGGAAGCCACCGGCTTGGGTTTGCAAGAGTTGAGCAGGGCCATCAAGGACTGGACGGGGCTTGGAGGTCCCTCATTCACCGGGTCACCAAAAGTCAGAGGCGACGGGGCCGCACCTCCCAAAAACCTCCAGGGACCGAGGCTTGAGCCAGAAAGCGAGGAGGAAGCTTATTCGGCTTGGAAAGTCATCAAGGGCGGCCCGGCTCCTCTTCAGGTTCTGCCAAAAGAAGCCAAACCGGAGAAGGGAGGGCGAGGTTTAAAACTGAAGCCAAATCCAGCTCTCAACCTCAGCGGCGAGCGGCGACACCCGGGGTGCTTGCTGAGCCTGCTCTCGGCAAGAGGGGATGAGCCCCTGACTGGAGCCCTTGAGGGCGCCGGATCCTTCCCTAATGATCCTGGGGCACAACCTGAGAAGACGGGGCTGTTGGGAGAGGGTCTCGAAGCGGGAGGAGAGGAAAGGAAAGGCAGCCGGAGGAGAGGAAGACCAAACCCGAGAGAGAGATGGATCCAGTAAGGGAAGCCACGGCCGGAACTTTGCAACGGCCGAGGGAAGGACAGGACTGCTCTGAGGCCGCTGATCCATAGGGGCTGCAGGGAGCTGATCCATAGGGGCTGTAGGGAGCTGATCCATAGGGGCTGTAGGGAGCTGATCCATAGGGGCTGTAGGAAGCTGATCCAATCCATACTGATCCATAGGGGCTGCAGGAAGCGCCTCGATCCTCTGAAACCCGATCGGGACGGGACAGCCTTTCAAAACCGAGGACTGCTCTGTCCAAAAAAGGCCACGCGGCCACCCGGCTCCCTCGCCGGCTTGGGGCAAAGGCAAGCACTGGCCGAGGGGTTGGAATCCAGCGCATCTGCCCTCTGGTCAGTTTCCTGCCGGCCCTGGTCAGTTTCCAGGCGGCGCCCCTCCCGGCCAGGCGCTCGGAGCGGTCCCGAAGCGACGCCCCTCCTTCGCCACCCCTTCGCCTTTTTTGGGTCAGGATCCTTTCCCAGAGGGGCCCCCCTCTCCCCCACCGCCCTCCC